ACGCTGGCGATAGAAAGCTGAAACTTGGCATACCTAACCTTTGATTCAAGCCAGATCTTTTGACACCAACCACATTTTGGGTCAGGTCAGGTCACTGACCTATGGCGTCATAAGTGAACCTCTGCACGGTCTTCAGATGTCGCAACTTCGCAACGCCCTCACTGCCAGAGGAGATGTCACAGGGAAATGAAACTTGCAGGATCTAGTATCCATTATGAGTCTCACAACTTGTATATCTCGGATTTTTCCTAAAGGTCATATGAGGTCAGGTCATTTTCGTGACCTCACCATTAGGGATAAGTCAATGGGGAAAAATGAAAACTGCTGTTCTGGCGCCGGGAACGATCTCCAACTACCTCAAGCACACATAATCGTAATTTGATGCACTCCTTGCAAGGTTAGATGCGTCACTTTTGCAATGTTGACCTTGCGTGACGTCATTTATGACGTCATCAAGGTCATATTAGTTTTTCGTCAATAACTCCCGATCAAATTGAGCTAGCGAGTCGGGAAAGCCACCAATGGACTCAGGAAAACCTGCCGAATCGAATGATATGCAACATGACCTCTTTCGACCAACTTCGTGACCTCGGGGTGCTGACCTGACCTTGACCTGAGGTCAACACCCCAAGTTGACCTGACCCGGACAAAAAGTATATCATTCGACGCGCCTGAGCAAGGCGAACACGATGCTGCCAAAATCGCGGCTCTGCGGCAGTTTTTTTTGCGAAGTTATTCACCAAAAACTGAACCGTACCTTGGGGCACTTGACCTGACCTCAGAGGTCACCGGTTGACCTAGGACCTTAAAATCGGGTACCAATCTCTGCGTCTCGTAACGGCGCACACGCTCGTTTTTTCCGCGACGCGCTAGCTCCACCTGGGGCGAAACGGCGAGGGGGGGGTCGTACCCGCCCCCCTCGGCCGGCGCGTATGTAGAAAACCAATAGGTCCGGCGAGGGTTAAGTAAACCTCTGCACGGTTGTCGGTTATAAAATGATGCAAATCCGCAATGCACTTAGTGTCAAGCATAATGGAGAAATATGGAAACTGTTAATTTGGCGTCGGAAATGATCTAAAATTACACCTCAAGCACTTCAAATCGTGACTTCATACATTCTTGGCAAGGTCTAATGCTTCACTTTTGCATTGTTTACCTTGCGTGACGTCAGTTATGACGTCACTAGGGTGATAGGAGTGCTTCGTCAATAACTCCCGATCAAAATGAGCTAGCCAGTCGGGACAGCCATCTTTGGACTTTGCAAGCTTGCCGAATCAAATGTTATGCAACATGTCCTCCTTTCAACAGCTTCGTGACCTGTGTTGCCCTAAAATGACATTGGCCTCAGGTAAACATTCTAAATTGCTTCACCTAAACAAAAAAACATATAAATCGACGCGTCTGAGAACAGAAAACACGATTGTATCGAAATGACGATAATGCGACCATTTTTGCGAAGCTATTTACCAAAAACCGATTGAATGCTTTGGGGCCCTTGACCTGCCCTAAGAGGTCAATGATATTTTAAAATGGGGTACCAGTCGCTGCGTCACGTAACGAAGCAAGCGCTCGTTTTTTTTCCGCGAGGCTCTAGCAGCTAGCTCAATTATAGTCCATGAGCTAAACATGGGGTTGGGGGATCGCTCCCTTCTCACTCACTATTTGGCCGGGATAGTGTTTGCAATTATTGTTAAAATCTAGCATTTTCAGATTTCAAATAACCCATTTTTCTCGCCCAAGTCTTTCAATTCAAGGTCATAACACCAGGTCACGTCAAGTGACCTTACCTCAAGGAAAGTTCCTGTGCTCATCATATCTAAATACACCGACTAACCGATCGCTTTACAACTTTCAGCGATTTCAATGGGCAACACTATATGTATTTGAAACGTTTACTTTGCAAGTTTGACATTGTTGACAGGAAGGCCGGGTCAATTTTGAGATCGCTCAAGTCAATGGGAGAAAATTGAACTGCGCTTTTTTGGACGGAACGCATAATAAACACTCTGAAAACATGTGGTGCTTGATGAGATACAATACTGAATGAGAAAATTGTTTGTTTTGTTGAGAGCCATCTTTTTCAGTCTGAAAAGGCCCTTGCAGAGCTATGACATAACTATGCTCTGGTGTAGTGATTGGGTTGTGCGAGCCAGCGACAGTGATCTGCGGAAGCGAGACTGTTCCCGTGGGACGATTGCCCTGTCGAGTGTCGGGACGGTCCAGCCGTCTCCCAAACGGTCACCCGAAGAGGAGTATGTGTCCTGGAATGGATCCGACATCAACTACAGGTTGGCTGGTGGGGTGACCTCCAGTCCAGAGAGGGAAGCATGAAGACTAGGGGCGATGCGGATTGTTTTTTTCCTGAGGATAGCGAGGACGGAAGGGATCTAGCACCCTTGACCCTTCCTTATACTGAATGTATCTCAGGCTGTTAAATCTCCTAAGTGTTTTTTTTTCTCGACATCGTCAAGGTGTCATTAATAAAAATATGAAATCCGGGAGAATAAATCAAATATAGAAATTGTGGCCAACAGAACATTATCAGTTGCGTTAAACATACTAGTGAGCATGATCACACACCCAGCTTATATATGAGCCATGTCATAATTATTTTTGATAGACATGCTTAAGTTATGAAATCATCTAAAGTGTTCGTAAAGTTCCACGATACGAATCTAATATCCTGCTATGCATCATGACCATTTCTGGTCAGGCCATGTCTTTGAACATAGGCCAAATTTTTCAAATGACCTTTAAAGATCAACTTTTGATTCATTCGAAGCGTTTTTTAATAAGAGGAACACGAGGCTGGTAAAATTAATTTCAAGCAAGTTTTAAGCTATAAAGTTTTTATAAAAACGCAATTTTCAAAAAAGGCCATCGATCGATTTTGATAAATATTACATTTTTGGATTCAGCTCACCGTCAGCTTTCGAATGGTATATATCGTTTCTTTTGAGCCCGAGATGACCTTCCGACGAACCGTGTGAGCGGAGCGCCCGGTTTGTGGATCTTGGGCAAACCGTACAGTCTTGGAGCCACCGAGTGAGATGGTAAAAGCTGTTGTGCTCTTCTGACTGATATTTCACCCCTGTCCTTGAGCCGGTTGAGCAGCTCCTTCATCTTCCTCTCCTTGGTTCTTGTCGGATCTGTCCTCACTTGCTGATACGCCCTGTCCGCCAGCAAGTCCTCGAGTTTCCCGGCGTACTGACCGACAGATAAGACCACGACTGTGTTTCCTTTGTCGGCTGGAAGAATCTTGATGTCATCCCTCGCCTGTAGACTTTTGAGTGCTGACCTCTCTTCTCGGGTGAGATTATCTGCCGGCGGTTTGGAACTACGAAGAACTGACGCGATTTTAGCCCTGACGACGTTGGCCTCCATGGGGTCTTTGATGTGTTTTATACCCATCCACTACCCACTACCCAGTGAATACCCAGTGAATGTGTTTTATACCCATCCACTACCCACTACCCAGTGAAAGTCCGTTAACAATTTCAAATAAGTGTTTCCGTCATTATTTTGACGCTCTTTCGATTGCCGCTTACCGCGTGTCGCTACGTGGCCCAGGAGCCAAGTTAGAGTGGGTCGTGTGAAAACGCATGCATGACACGGAAAACACAGGCCACCAGCACGGCGCGGTTTAACTAATAGGTAATGGAGAGGTAGCAAAATTGACCTGTCCCTCAATGTAGATATTTTGTCTGGGGATTACGCAAGGCGAATGTTCGGTGAGATCAGCAGGTATCTATGGCGCTTATTCAAAGTCGATCATGCACACTCATCATCTAATACTACGTCGTCGTCTTCTATACTACGTCGGCCGAGGACACCCTTTACCTTAGTGCCACTAATATGGGACAGTCTCACGCCTCATCCATCTGGCACTCATGCAGTCACCCATGTCCACAAGTAGGGGCTGCCCGCAGTATAGACATCGAATTTAAGGTGATTTGTGGAGAGAGAAAAAATCCAGAACGTATGTAAGCGTTCGGTCGCCTCTGACTGGAGTCGTTGCTAGTATGACAATCAGTTGGGATCTCATGGTGGATCTTATGGTCTGAAATGTTCAAGTCTTTCCTGGATTCCAATTTCGGCAATAAGTCGCAGCGTGAATCCTTCATACTACGTGCGGTCTTAGATTCTAAGCACGGTCACTCCGGTTGACCACAGGCTGCAGTCCACAGGTCACTTTGGATCAGTGAGTGAAGCTGTATAATTTTTTGCAAATAATAAAAAATGTGCTCATCGATCAATGTATGTTTTACCGTTTCGAATTCGCATGGATGCGTTTTTTGAGAATGAAATATCCGTAGCCTGAGGTCGTTTCCTATATCGTGCTAAATATTCATCAAGATCAAGGTTTTTTTTTATAAAACAACACCGGGCTGCAAATTGCATTAATTGGATTTTATGACAAATCATCGAAACCTAGTTTTTATACTCGTATTTTGCAGCACCTAGTAATCATGCATGAACATGACGTTACATTTTAGACTGACGCCCCTGTCGCTAAGCTGACAATGGCGCCCCTCTCAAGGGAAAAAGTCGCCCCCTCGAGCACCATTTGATTTAGAGCTCTTTCGCTGATTTCTGGATACGCCACTGGGTATCACTATTTTCGGGGCCAATTCAGCCAAAATCAGCCTGCTGGTTGTTGTTGTTGGACGATGGGTGGCTGCTGGGTGGGGCGGGTGCTGAAATTTCCAAAACGTGGCATATCTAGTAGTGGTAAGCTAGAATAAGATTGCAGGTTTTTTAGTATGCCGGTAATTTGGTGGTTTTTCGCTTGGGGCGTGGTAGCATGCCGGTGGCAGCCTTTGGGGAAAATTTTGCAACTCTAACATGTTATCGATACCCCGACAGACAGCACGAAAGACACGCTACTTGCTCCCCTAGGATGTTCCACACCGTAGGGATATGCTAGTGTGCTGCTGAAATCAGCCGGCGTTGAGGCGAGGTGTTTACTGTTTGAGATGTTTGCTGGGCGCTGGCGACAGGTCGAGTGAGTGGAAGCAGACGCAGCCGGCCCCAGCGGGCGCTCAGCTGGCGCCGACGGAGGGAGGCCCGGCCCAGGGTATATTGAGTGAAGCCCGGCCGGCGCTCAGTGTGCCGCCAGCGGGCCGCAGGGTTGGATCTACTCTGGGACGGCCGCCAACTGGACTGGCAGGTGAGCACACCGCGCACCGCCGACACTAGCTCTATATAGTTAGATAGTGCCGGCTCCGGAGGCGGCCGGCCGGCGCAGACCCCGGATACCAGCCCGGATTCTGGTGGCGCGGGCCGGGTTCAGCAGCGACCTGGGGGGGGGGGGGGCAGTGAATCCCGGCCAGTGAATCAGTTGTGAGGGCCGGCATTGCAGTGAAGGCGCCGTGAGTGGAGCTCAGAGATGTCGCAGTGCACTCTTCTTGAGAAGCGGAAGATAATGACCATGTGTGATGCAGGAAATTATGCCGCTATGATCAGATCACCATCAACCTCCCCCGATTCCTACAATCGCATAGTCCTGCAACGATCAATAACGCCCAAGGGTGTTTCCATCCAACAAAATCAAGCGAAGGGGCCGTTTAGCGGCTACACCATTCCGGATAACCCGTGACTTCCTTGGGGGGGGGGGGGGGTAGGGAAGGGCACCTCCTCTTCGTCGGAAGGTCATTTCATTCACAGACGAAATATGCCATTAGAAAGCTGACAGAGCTGATTCCAAAAATGCAATTTTAACCTTTTTTTCGATGGCCTTTTTAAGAATGGTGGTAAAAAACGTTGATTTTTTGTTCATCGGGCTGTCCCCGACATTCATAAAATCATATGCATTGGCATATTTTGGCATTAGTAGAGCAGACGTCACACGAAGGTTTTCCAACCGAGGAGAGGCGCTGTAGGTTTGTAGGTTGTAGGGTAGGTTTGTTGGTTTGTAGGTTGTAGGTTTGTAGGTTGTAGGTTTGTAGGTTGTAGGTTAGGTTAGGTCAGGTTAGGTTTGTTTAGGTTTTCCTAGAAAGAAGCACGTCCGGGTATGGCGCCTCTCCTTGGTTGGAAAACCTTCGTGTGACGTCTGCTCTACTTTAAAGGAAAAGGGCCACCTTTAACATGGGGATTGAAACTGAGATAGCCATCTTGTAGCCCGTGTCCGAAAACCTAACTGTCTACCTCCTTACGGCCGATTTCGGCCTCCATTCGTAGTTATCGGCAATTTTAAAAGAAAATACGCCAGGAATGCGTCCTTATCCCAGGAATGCGTTCTTATCCGACAATACAGCCACCCGCGGCGAGGCTTTGGTTTTTTACCAATCAGCTCCAACCAGCTCAGCTTTAACCAATCAGCTTATCTGACACAATCCGACGAGTCTGTCTTCTAAACGCTGATTGGCTTGAGTGTGACGTCATCGCTATGCCATCATACAGTAGGTGCCGTAGAGAGTATCAACATAGTACCAATATGTTAAATAGTTTTAAATACTTTTTCGCAAATTGTGCACTTCTGGCACCAGTTTTAAAAAGAAAATGAAAAATAATAATGTCAAAATGAAAAACAACGATATCTTCATATTTCACGAAGGTGGCCCTTTTCCTTTAAGCGTGTCCCAGTAGCTGAACGCCAAAAGAACAATATGTAGGCGAAAAATCGACCTCGGGCAGGAGCTGTGGGACTTGTACATGGACAAATTGAATAGATGCTAGCCTAGATCATGTCGTGGCTGCAGTCCAAGACATGTTCACTAGTTGCCGTTGCTGCCGCCGCCTGCTGCTGCCCTGCGTACCGGCTGGCAGCTCACTGCTGGACTGTTTGCGCGCCAGGCATCCTATTGGACGAGTGGGGTGGGTCGCAGATCTTTGAGAGTGAAACGTTTGGTCTATGTAAATGTAGCTGAAACTCTTACAAATAATCTAATAAAAAGGCAAAATTTCAGAGGACTCCATTGGTGTCTCAGTGGTGACAATCAGAACTTGATCAGAACTGTTATCATGCTGAATGCTGAAACTGAGAATAGGGCTGAGCTGGTGGGCTAGAATTTAATATGCAGGCTTACAAGGTCCCCAGTTAATCCAAAAATTTGTCAGACTTGCCTGTAGGCAAATTTATGCAGATGAAATGTTTCTGGCAGATAGGTAGCCCTGAGGCAAAATGCTATTCAAGCTTGTTCCGCAGCTCGTTGCGTTCCACGTGAGCCACTAAATCAGAGTCACACAACTCTGCCAAATGTGCTGAAAGGCCACGATTTTTTCCAGTAGGTAGGTATATTTATTATTTTTTTCACAGACACAACAAAAATACGAATGCAGGTCACTACAATTCATTCTGCTTCAATTACAAATGCTGGAATGTATTTTGCAGACTTATTATATTGAATCTTGAACAGACTATATTATATTACTTTGCTCATGGGCCCAGGCCAGTACTGTATGGCTGTATGTGCGAGTATAGCTCGCAGGTCGCCAAGGAGCACTGGCCCAACTCCCAAGTTCAAAATTGACACAAACCCTTCAAACAGAGCCCGAAAATTCACACCAAAGGGGGCTGAGAGAACACAAAAATGCACCAAACCCCAAAATGGCCAATCAAAATCTGCACTGACCTCAAATCCCCACAATGCTACACATCTGCACCACAGCAAGCCAAATTCGCATCCCGCTACACTAAATTTGCACCACACTAAACCAAATCCGCACCGCACCACACTTAAATCCGCACCAGACGAAGGAGTCCGCACTGACAAAATCTTGACAAAATTGCCATACTTTGCAGTCTGGCTCATGGCTATGTCCATTGTGATTCTTAGGTCTGATTATTGAAGTTGAGCTCACTTCCATCATCCATGTGCCCAAGACATTGTGGGCAGCATCAATAATCAAACATCAATATCTTGCTTTTGCTTATTAGGGAGCATTCTATAATCTTTTAAAAATGATAAATAAGGCCTTGTTGATATTCTTTGCAGTTTGCGACCTTCTTCTTGACAAAGTTCAAGCTACAATTTTCCAATTTTCATTTCAATCCTTTCCATGCATATTGAACATGTTACTAAAATACCAATTTCCTGAGTTTTGATTTCATGCGCAATGTTTGTACTATTCGCGGCAGAAGCGTAACAAAACTTTGTGCCACCGATTTGGCAGCTAGGAAAAAACTTTGCCCGATAAAAAAACAATCATATGACGTAATCGATCCAAAAGCTTTAAATTGGAATTTTTTAACAATTAGCCAACTATGGGCCGAATGTTTGCCAATTTCGTGTAAAGGGGCCCCTAATCTATGTCTTGCAACGCAAGAACAGTATATCAAAGCAATTTTTTGAAGGTGGGACAGTCCCCTTAAAGGAACTATCCCACCTTCAAAAAGGTACCGTTTAGGATTCGGAAATGTTACTCATGATATTTTGACGAATTCTGCAAGTTTTTACGCGTTTTCATCGTATACTTTTTGAGATATTGCGACTTTCATATTTCATCGTGACGTCATTTATATCGAATCTGTGACGTAATGAAGGATTTACTTCATGTCAATGTGAGGGGAAATTTGGCAGCAAATATATTTGCTCTCAAATATGACGCGGCTCATACAATAACAAGAGTGTCTCTGATTGGCTTATTCGTAAATCAAGTGATACTTCACTTGAATGTGTGACAGGCGTTCAAAAGGCAAATGAGTAATGACGTCATCAAATGGCCGTTAATAGTTAAGAGATAGGGCCTTAGCTAAGGCCCACTTTTCAAATGAAGGGAACGAATTTCTTTAACACCACGAAACTGAGGATATTGCGACCAGGATATATAGTGGTTTCTGAACCTGGCCGCCAACTTGGCTATCTCAACTCAGAACTAATGCAAAGGTGGGACAGTCCCTTAAATGAACAAATATTTGAGAGGGAGGGCAGTATGCAGAAAGAGCTATAACAGGACTCCCAAATGTGCTTTTCTGGGGTGCTGTAGCTCTATCTGTTTCTAAATTATGCATCATTTTGTTCAGCATTGTCTCAATAGTCTGAATAGTCTCAATAGTTTCAATAGTCTCAATTGTCTGAATGTTTTTACTGTCAACTATCATGTGTATGTTCATATGTAATATGTATGTGTTCAAATACGTTCTTACTGTGCAATTGACGTGGACGCCAGAGAACCTACACTTGTGCAGGGTCCCAATAATTTATCTATCTAATAGGACCTGGAAATAAACAAAATACTCTGGAATTGGGCATAAATTGGCTTTCAATACCTTAGCGACCTGACCTTTGAACTGGCCTTGAAAATGACATAAGTATAATAAAAAATGTAGTAAAGAGCAAGTAGCATACGAATATATTCAAGTAGCAATTACATATAAATATGTAATTGTATGTAATTATATGTAATTATATGTAATTATATGTAATAAAAAATGTAATAATAAAAAATGTGTTTTTGAACTTTGCCTACAGCCCAGGCTCCATTGCAAGATTTTCTGTGCCATTTTGTGATAATGGACAAAAAAGTTCAGAATTTTGAACTTTTTAACGATGACGCGATATCGCTTTATCACAAAATCGCAACAACCCACGGAAAAATCCTGTAGTAGAACCTGGGCTTACCAGTATCCTTACACATTTCATCGGTTTCATCTAACCATTTTGGGAAAGTATATTTAATAAGGTTTGCTTGTCAGCTATGATACATTTTGATTTGTGATATTTGAAACAGATTTAGATGCCCAAATGTTTAAAGCAATTATTTCTAATCATTGCAATCAATAAACTGTTGTTGTTATTTGGGTTAGGGCGCGTAACAGCTTGGCAATCCATAAACACAACACATATTTGCCTTCCTATGTAAAAAATATAGGGCTGATGCAGATAATCGTAATGGTTAATATCATCCAACATCACCCTCACTCTACGTACGTTGATAAATGATATTCGTATAACCCAGACTTCAGACAACTGCAAAACTGCAAACCATTATAGAGATCAGTGCTGCAAACACGCAGCAAACAAGCATTGCGCCAGATTTTACGCGCCATTATCCTAACTTCCATCAAAAAGATAGTTCAAAACCGCATGCTCCAGTCATTCCAACAAGGTACTATGGAACATCAAAGCAATTTTGATTTGTTACAACAGCTTCAGATCATGATGGCTTGAAGTTTGTTACACCATTTGCCAGACAAACCTCTACAAAATGTGTATCAATTACCAAACTAAGCAATTGTTGATATCAGTATTGGAAGTTTCCAGTTTCCACACAATGTTTCATAATATTATTCGATTTTTATATCAAGAAGTTGTTGTTGTTGTGGGTTAGGGCGCGTAGCAACTTGGCTCTTGCGTCCAACTTTTATATCAAGAAACTCAAATAATCCACAAATTGTTATTGAAACACCTCGTCCTCCACTTTAACATTTCACAGCAATAACAATACAAATTCAGAAGCAAACAAACCTTGCGCCAGATTTCGTATGAAACGCGCCATCATCCTGAAGTTTCTACCACAGGCGGTAGTTCAACCGCAGCCGTAGTGCGAAAACCCCTACCCACCTTATCCCACGGCGGAGCTCGGTTGCAATTTGTAAATACGCCTGCCAAATGCTATTCAGGGTTGTTAAAAAATTGCTCAATATGTCGGCAACATCCGACGATCGCGGACGGTCGCTGAGCGTGACGTCACGTTAATTATAACCAATGGACGAGCTGTTGCTCTCGATCGCCGAGAAGTTGAATATTTTGAACTTTCTGGCTGTCGCTGCGGTGTTGCTGGCCGCTACTGCTGTACGAGCATGCAGCTATGGAGCAGCAAATAGGTAAAATATTTACAAAATACCGTCCTCTTAGATTTTTCAATGCTGATTACTAGTCAGGATATCTGAAAGGCATTTTGACTGGTTGGATATTGGTCTCACTTCTGATTTGTTGGTGGGGATCAGTGCCAGAGAAACCGTGGGCGACCGTCTCCCCGGGCCCCATTAATTCCATTTTCTGGGGGGCCTAATATATAACGAAAGTGGGCCCTTTTGAGTTTTAAAGAAAATTAACCACTTGGGCCTGTATTGGTGTTCTAAATCTCATTCCAAATATCGGAGCGCTATATCAGTGAGTAGATCTCAATGAGTCGGAGTTCACAGCAAGCTAGTGGGCCCAGTCTGAAGATTCCAGGGCCCTGTTCGCTCGCTGTTTTTATATCAGCGTGCTGTCGGTTTTCCCCATATAAGGAAGTTATTGCTGGCGCGGCTTGGCCTCTCATTGGTCTAGCGAATAGATCACTTGAATTTGACCAATGAGGAGCCAAGAAGTAGCAGCATGGTCTGCTGATAAATAAACGGGGTGCGACCAGAGCTCAGGACAAACCTTCGTATGACATTTCTTCGTCGCGCAATTCTTCGTCCTCAAATCTTCGTCAGCGCATTTATTCTTGTCGCATTATTTCGTCTCGCATTTCTTCGTAGGCGCAAATATTCGTAACGCATTTCTGCGCCCATGAAGGGAGCTGTATGACCCCTGAAAGCACCCACTCAATAAAGCAATAGCTTTGGACTAATTATCATTTTAGTGATTATCAACCCATGCCACAGATAAACAACATACACAAGCGTACTCCAACCTTTGATATTTGTTTTAACCTTTAATGCCACGTTTTGGCGTCAAAAAGATAGTGGCATCACTAGCGAACGATGGCACAGGCAAGCTATCATTAATAGATATCGATACATAGGATATCGATACATACCTATATAATATGCAGAAAACTTTAATATCCAACGCCACAAACCTCAAAACACATCTGCGTGACGCAGATGCGTTTTGAGGTTTGAGGTTTGTGTGGCGCGGTTGCCGGTGGGCTCTGGAATGCCGGTTGTCGAGTGTCGCCCAGTTCCTCGGCGTGACGTAATTGTGACGTCAACAAGGTGAAAACAAATTCATCGGTGTTGCTAGAAGTTGCTCGCATGCTGCCACCGGTTGCCGGGCGATCGGTTGCCCAGAGTCGCCGAGCAACCGATTGCTGAGAGTTGCCGGCGGAAGTTGCCCGTGTACAACGGCCTTTAGTCTCAGTTCAATATACCGATCTTCACGGATATATGCGTATTGCGTTACTCGGAATATCGCAATGCGTTATCGCGCAAAGCTGGCCATCGAGTAGGTACGGTTCTCCAGGAAGTCTTGTTGGTTTTGCCTTTTCGGGCATATCTGGTCCTATATAATGTTCAAATGCATAAGTATCAACTATCAACCCGAATCATGTGTATGCACAATGCACATTTACCACGAGACTGTGAAATTGCATCGTTGTATGCCAAATACTTTCCGAGATATTCACCAAAAACCTCATTTTCTGCCGTTTGGGGTATTCTGGCCGCAATTTTCCTGGGATCGCCTATGACATCAGTAGAGCTATCTAACGAGAGGAACGCGGAAACACAGAATCGTGAATGAATCGAGCGCGTAGTAAACGGTGTATGAAAGGGAGACTCGGCAGAGGCTATCCGGGTGGCCGGCGCGCGGCGCGCCCTTAGGCATCGGCCGACCCTTCGGACCGCGTGGGGTCAGAGGTCGCGCTCGGGAAGTCTCGGGTCTGGGTTTTAGCGCTGTGCAGTCAGGAAGGGAGCATAGGATAGCGCTAGCCCGACTGACTAGTATCTCGGCTGATTCGTGTGGGGTAGAAGGGGGCACAGAACGGGATGGTGGCTAGTGGTGGATGATGGGATGGTGGTTAGGTTAGTGCGTACTGCGTAGAACGTAGCTGAACATGCATTGTTTTTTCATGGCAAACAACATGCAGCATAATGTGCGGGATTATGCCAGAACTCATACAAAAAGGAAATGATATTTCGGCCGAGGGAGTGGATGAGTGCCATGACAAAGCATGACGATGCTGCCAAAATCGGGATGCTTTTTTGCCCCCCTTTTTTTACCCCTAACATGCAGCGCTTGATCCGAACTTAGAGGTCTCTGACTGACCTTAGACCTTAAAATCGCACCCGTCCGGTGCGCCACCTTTTCTTCAGGGGCGCTCTTCTTGGTTGTATCTGTTCTTACCAATAACTAAAGCAAATCGAATGTATAATAACAAGGCATACCTCGAACACAGTTTTATTCACACCCGCTCGTGTGCATACTTGTTTTGACCTATACCTTCTCGCATCATAATATCACTTCAGTGCTTAACCCTCAACGGAATTTTGGGTTTTCTGCATATACCCCGGCCGAGGGGGGGGGGGGGCGATTACGACCCCTCTCAGTCTTTTTGCCCCTAATTGAGCTAGCGCCTTGCGGATAAAACTGAGCGCGTGCGTCGTATGAAATGCAGCAACTGGTACCCGAGTTTAATGTCTCAGGTCAACCGATAACCGATAAACTCTTTGCATTAGCGAGACTCCACACTTTAGATTGGCATTGTCATCGTATTCATTTTCCATCCAGTTTGGCAACAAAACGCAAAAGTTTATATTTGCCCCCAAAACAAACTTTTGCATTTTCTTGCCACACAAGGCGTATACTTTGTTTAGTGATAGACCCAATCGAAAGAGTGAAGCATGGCGCATCTATTTTCGGTGAGTTCCGACCGACTGATAGCATAGCCTTTGAGTAATTACCGGTTTTGTCGAAAAAAAGAATACCTACCACGCCGTCTGCTGAGGGCTGTACCTTGTGACGGCCGCCCGACCGAGGCGACCCCTACTTTGAGTCGACAACTGCGCCGGTCCGCCGCCGGACAGTCAGTTGAGTGTGAGTGGTCAGCCGTCAGTCGCCAGTTGTAGTTGCGAGTTGTCAGCCGTGAGTTGATTGTGGCAGTTCACCGTCAGTCACCTGCCGCACGGTCAGCTCAAAGCCGTTCACGCTGAGTCCCGGTCACTCGCCATGTGACCCGGTCTCTCTCTCTCTCTCTCTCTCTCTCTCTCTCTCTCTCTCTCTCTCTCGCTCTCTCTCTGAAATCAAGAAATACAGTGAGGTGCCGAACTGAACTCTGTTACTGAAAGACACGCCGCGAGACGACAATGTACGCTCTGGCCGATGTCCCTGCAGTATGCCGGAGTCGCTCAGTATATGTGACCTCACTGTCCCACATCCCCGCAGTATGCCGGAGCCGCTCAGTATCAGTGTGCTGGGCGCGGGCGTGGTCGGCCTGCACGTGGCCGTGCGACTGCAGACGGACTTTCCGGCGGCGCGGGTCACCATAATCGCCGCCGGCCAGGGCGCCCAGACGACCAGCATCGGCGCCGCCGGCATCTTCAGGCCGGGCGTCTTCAACGCCGCCACTCCCACACTCACACGGTGGGTGATTCACCGGGGAAATCTCTTATGAAACAATTAGGAAGTTCTCCAATGCCTATCCATCAACACGTGTTGGGCGGGGAAAAGCCGTCTGTACCGATTCATTAACACGTGTTTCGCCGGGAAGGCGAAGTCTGTACCTATCCATTAACCCTATTAGTGGCAGGCTCCTGGCTACCCCCTATTAGTGGCAGGGGGGGGGGCTGTTTACGACCCCCCCTTGATATCTCGAGATCTAACGGGCCGATTTTCAAAATTCAAACGGCATTCGATTTCCCTCAACGTGATCTACATTTCTAAAAAATAAAAATTAAAAAATGTCAATAGGGGGGGTAGAGGGGGGTAAAAACGGGCAAATTGCAGATACATTTTAGACTGTTTATCACGGCCAGGTTTCTGAACCAATCTTAACGCAACTTTTGCCGATCGATAGAGAATGAATCAGGAATTCACATGGATCCTAAAAATATGCATTTTCAAAAATCATAGGCGGATACAGATCATTGAGATTGGGGGTACACAAAAAGTATAGTAAAAAAGGTTTTTGTTGGTGCTGTTTCTAAAAAGGGTGGTAATGGTCTTGTTATGTTATAATTTTCTTATGAGAGAACGACTAAAATTGTATTGGTAATGCATAGGCGGTGTCAGGGCACCTATGTTGGGAGGTAAAACATAACCCCCCTTTTTGGACGCCTGGATCCGCCTATTATTGCAAAAACGTGTCAAAAGAGGATGCACAATAACTGTATATGTTATCACATGATACCTTTTATTCACTGTTCGTAAAACTGGTGCAGCATCGTGATCTTCGCCCAAATGACTCGCTTCACGAATAGGACCCCCCAATTTCCAGTGCTCTGGAGCCGCCCCTGGTAAAGTTATGAACTTGAAATTTTCAGGGAATGTGCCCAATTTAGTTTTAGGAAAAGTCAGAAAATTTCAGCATCGTAGCTTCAGCGGTTTCGGAGATATTCCCGAAAAACCTGAGGGGTGGATAAAAACAACCCCCCCCCTGCCACTAATAGGGTTAAAGGGACTATCCCTCTTTAACATGGGGTTTGAGTTGAGATAGCCAAGTTTGCGGCGAGGTTCAGAAACCACTATCTATCTAGGTTGCAACCCCCGCGGCCTCTTGGTGTTGAAGAAATTCGTTCCCTTCATTTAAAAATGGGCCTTGCGCAAGGCCCTATCTTCAGCATGGAGCGACCGTTAGTGTGACGTCACCTCGTTTAGTCATTCTGATTTAAATGGGTTTGTTCGTTGAAAAATCGCTTAAAACTTGGTCTGAACTTTGTTGTGGTGTCTACAGAGTAAAAAGAATCAGCTTTATGACAGTAATGTGGCCTGGGGAAGGAGGTAATTTTGGGCTGTGACGTCACATATTTGAAAGTTTGTGTTTGGAATATGGGAAGCCTAAGATGTTTAATGAAAAATAAATGCCAGAACCGTGTTCCTGGTCATCCAATCTATAAAGTCGGGCACAATTTAACTGGTTTTAACAACATTTTAGAAGGTGGGATCAAGATTACTTTACTAATAAGGTTAGTTCACTAAAGAATTTTTGCCGCCCAGGTGACGTCACATAATATGGTAGCGATTTGGTAGCCATTTGCGAATACATAAATGACTTGCGTGAGACATTTATAATGCGAGGCATTGTTCAAGGCCGTACATAGGTTATTATTTATAAGTTATAATGTAAATACCTGCCGCACTCTCGTATTTTGCCTTTTAATAGGTAGTGATAATGGGCAAATTTGCGATTTTAGATCGGGCTATTGAGGATTCAGACGGCTCTAGCTTTATTTATTAGATCGCTTATAAAATCACCAGGTTTTCTGTCATTATTTTCCTTTATAGTGTCTGTTCATCAGAGGTTGGTTTGTATCGCACAATTGCAATGAAATTGAAATGCTGATGAGTGATGAAATCTTTATTCAGCTACGAATGTTTTTAAATTTTGGGTTGAGCGTAGCGGTATATACTGCCTTGAGCATGGCCATCAGATATGCAATTAGCCCCATAACAATGCTGCATTGGCTATATTGACAAAGTGATGGTCTGAGTAATGTACACCATTTGCCTCTTTACAGTTTTTGACATGTTTTAAATTGTAAAACCTAATAAAATCATGCATTAGAAAATATGTGGTAGTCATTAAGCCAGCGTCACACTTGTTTTTGCAACGAAGGAGAGGCGTTTTACCCAGAGATGCTTGCTAATCAAACCAAACCAAACCTAACCAAACCTGGCCTAACCTTACTTACAACCAATACTGTATGAGTCATTTGACCTTATCCTCAATACTTTAAGTAAACTGTAATGGCAAAAATACAATACAAAAGCGATATATTTCGAGCACTGCTCTTTCTCAATCGGTTCGGAAGTGCAGAACACGTCTCACTTCAAAGTAGCATTTCGTCACATTTGCCGCTTAGCCCGAAATATCATCTATCGCGTGACAACTATATAAATTGTCCTCCCATACCAAAGCACACGATATATTACCCTACATACCCTACCCGTAGTACAGTTGAACACCGGTATGAATACCCATATCATAAGTTTCACGTATTCACGCTCAAGTTGTCTGTCACCCTACATAATCACCTCCAACTATGCAAGAATTTGCCACGACACTGTGTTGTAGTTGATTTTGGGCCTATGTTCACGAATTCTAATGGATTCTGTAATTTTCCTGTCTGCTTCATCTCTACAAACATTCATGATACGAGCCGTTAATCTGGTGTCATCTGGACAGCTTGACGGATGTTTTTGCACTACATGGTCCCCGAGGGGCGTGCCGGCCTCCTTGTTGATCCCACTTCTGAGATGCTCGTTGTAGCGCAGCCTAACTGGTCTACTCGTCTCCCCAATATAAGTGTCTCCACATTCACAAGTGAGCTCGTACACCACGTTTGTAGTCACACATTTGTCTTTTAACCCGCGCGGGGCTGGGGGGGGGGGGTAAATTTTACCCCCCCTCGCGAATTTTTGCGATATCTCAAAAACGGCGGCGCGCAGCGCCGCCAAACTTTCAGTACCTTTTCTTACATCAATTTGACACGTTCCCTGAAAAGTTGAGCGAAATCCGTCAGAAAATTTTTGAGAAATTGACGTTTTAGTGACGTCATGTTCGTCATTTTCGCCTCAAAAACGGCAAAAGTTCAAACGCCGCTAACATCTTCATTTTTAAAGTAATCAAGACGTTACAAAAAAGGTTATACGTAATTTTACTTTGTCTATCAAATGGCTATCTCGGTTTTTTGAAAATTTTGGATTTTGGCCTAAATTTTTTCAAAAAACTGACTTTTTTGGGAAAATCATTATAAAATCCAAAATTTTGAGTCTATCGAAAAAAACCGGAATATATGTCAGAGAAGTGGTCTATGTGCACCTACATACTAAATTTTAGAAGAATCGGTTCAAAAATGTGGGAGTTATTCAAAATTTTATGACGTCACGACACACAATTTTTTTGAAAAATGACTTTTTTGGAAGTTCTAGACCTCGTACGGAAACAAAAATAGCACCATTCGATTCGCCGTGAAAAACTGCATCAGATAGACACCTTTTTAGGCCTTAACAACCAACTTCGAAATTTGACCTCACTTGACCTGACCTTGACCTGACCTCGACCTGAAATTCATCCAGAGGTGGTCCATATCACTTATTGAGTGTGCCTATTGAATTCTATGAGTAAAATGGCCCATAAAACATGTGTCGCACATGCCCTTTTCTATATTTTGTTTTTTGGTGACCTGACCTGACCTGACCTGACCTTGACCTTGACCTCTGAATGATATTGTATGCAACTAATATTGTCTTGGTAGCCTAAGAACACGTTTTGGGCGATCAGTCTCAGTCCATGACTCCATTCTTCGGCAACTACGGTGCAAGGCCGATACTGTAGAAACTTGCAATTTGTACCCTTGACCTGACTTTGACCTTGACCTCAAACTTTAAATTAAGTACATGTTTTTAGTAGTTCGTGATGAGAGCTTTCGATTGGCGTTTGAATTTTCCAAATCCGACCGTTAGTTCGGGAGATAACAGGGGGGGTAAAATTTACCCCCCCCCCCCCAGCCCCGCGCGTTCGGCTGGAGACCCCAGCCCCGCGCGGGTTAAGCCCGCATGGCAGCAGTGACAGCGCCGCAGTCCCGACGGACATGGCGCTGTCTCCAGGCGTGTCCTAACGAGCCGTCTTTTTAATGTGTTTTCGTTAGTCCATGCTATTTCAATTGGCAGGCCGGAACTTCGCACTGCGCCCTTCACCTGTCACCTGTGCTTTTGTATTGTATTTTTGCCATTACAGTTTACTTAAAGTATTGAGGATAAGGTCAAATGACTCATACAGTATTAACTATGATTTTCCTCATAACGCTGAACTTAATCTTACTTACAACCTACAATATTAAACCTACAACTCTGCACCAAGCCATTAGCCAAATCCGCTCCGCACCATACCTAATTCGCACCAGCCGAATAAGCCCGCACCACCAAGGGCGGTGTTTCACGGGACGCTGCTACCACGCTGCTATCAAATTGCGCGAGCTGACGTCACACTTGTGGTAGTGTTGGAGCAATGGGCCTGTTGATGTTTCCATGGAAACCCAATTTGACACGTGTAAAAGCAGGCGTGCTGCTATCACCGGTGAAACAGGGCCCAGATCTCGTCGAAGTTACCATACTTGCAGATTGGCTGCTCCAGTACACATTCATTATTCATGGTTTCCATATGACGTTCAATATATCTTTTGCTGGATTATATGAAATTGAAATAGCTGTGCAAAATGTGCCAGACCATGTTTCTAAGTGACTTCAATGATTTCGAAGTTAGAACTTCATCACTCACTGGTCTTCCTATGTAAGGAACTATGGGCAGTGGGCACAGTCTAACGTAGCTAATGAACCTGCAGTTCAGCTTCAACCTTACATTAAGCCAAGGTTTCCTGAGTGTGCAATATGCATTCAAAAATAGATGTGTTTGGTGTGGACGAAGAAGGTGATGGTTCTTTGTGCTGAAAATGTTTAGTGTTGTATTCATATTTCAGCATAGTTCTTCAACTCAATTACTTGACCTGTTGCGGTCACCCATTATCTCAAGAGCACTGCTCAACAAAATGAAAATGATTTTTATGGGTGCTATTAAAGTACGAACATTAAATATCATCAGCTCACCAATATTCTTCTGAATCATGTGATTTTTTGTATCTCTAAATGATTTCCATTTCATAAAAGAACATACTCCACCCTTGTAACATTTATTGTACATGCCACCTTGGAAATACATTCATCATGATTCATGTCACTGTAGCACTTGTGCTTGCTCATTTGCACCTTGCGGCAGCACTGACAGTTGCTCACAATGTTCTATGTTAAGGTATTAACCACAAATTATAATGGTAGACAATACTCTACTCAATTAACTAGGTACTTATTGGATGAGAGAAATGTAAAAAATGGACCAGTCAACCAGGTCCCTTGCTTTGGTGATCTCTTGATTGTTCTCGTATCAAGTGAAATTCAACATTTTATGATTTTACACATTATTAATATTCACTAGAAATAAATATTTGTGCTAAAAAGACCAATACTGGCATGTTTTCTTCTCTTGAAAGGCATAACACAGCCTTTTTCACACTTCAGCCCATTATCTTGTATTCAAAGTGGCTCAGATACGAGTCTTCAGTTCCTTTGGTAGTGCAATATGAGGCATACCAAGTTCCAGTGGTATTTTTGAAGCATACTATAGATCACTCGCCGAAACAATGCACCTCATAGAAGTCTTGCTATTGTTAAGTGAATGCAAGGCTATAGAACTCCAGGTAAGGACGCCAGCCGTTTGACCTTGAACGCCGCCGGCCGATGACGTCATTGGAGGCAAGCCGGCTCGGCGGACACACAGGGCGAATGCATAACGGAGGGGCGTTGGAACGTTGCGGGAGCCAGGGAGATATTTTAAAGTGGTTGCATACCACCATTGTTTGT